TTATTTAATTGATTAGCGATGGCTTACTGACACGTTTTTTCTTTAGTCGATATTATTATCGATACTGGTATGACCGAGCGCTTCCAGTGGTTGGGATCAACGCGGGAGACATCAATAGAAACTATTACAATCATCCACGGTAAGCTAGTATTTGAAAATGGGTTTAAAATCAGAGTGAAAATGGAGCTAGTGGAGAAGACCAAACTAGGAATAGAGGTTTTGCACTATTTCAAGCCCTGTTCAAGATTTGTCGTGATGTCCCCCAAAGCAAGTGTTACCCATGTAAGACAGTAGACCCCTATGCAGCACGTCGGAATACAGCTCAAATTTGCATTGGAGGGCATAACAATAGGTTTCCAATTCTCGTGATATTGATTTGATTYGATTGATTGAGTTCCTTGATTACAGACTCACTTACACAGGGTTAGCCTCGTGTGCAAATACCAACAGTAAAGTAAAGAATGCACAACTTCAACAATACAAGGGGTCTATTCTTCTGTTCATGAATTTTCATTTAATATACTATCAATTTCGATTTTCTAGCTCTGGCAGAGTCCCCATCGTAGACATTGATCAAATAGAAGGGTTAAATGCCATTAAATCTTTTGGCGACTTGAACTTTCGACAAACCTTGAATGGCATTCGTGGCAGACTGTTTATCCGCCTGGAAGACTCACCTGGAAGGTTAGATGCCATGATTGAATGTGCCAAGTGGTACGTAAAAGATAATTGGGAGTTGAGATCTCGAGGTTTGCAGGCCTATCTCAACACGCTGGAAGCCTGTCCTTGTACGTATTGGCAGGCTTGGAGAGACAGGAGATTTAGGTATGAGTCAGGACGATGGCCAGTCTACTGCTTTGTCTCAAGGTTCCCTTCTGTGTTCGGATGGGGACAGAAGTGCTGTTACGAGTTCATTAGAACAACAGGATGGTGGTGGGGATGGTGGTGGTGGTTTCCTCTGTTAACAAGTGGATTCCCTAATGGCGGCAATGCTCAAAGGTAAGTAAACACAGTTGAGTCTTTTCGGCGCTACCCATCACGTGGTACAAATATAATGGTGTTGCATTGCGTTTGGTCAACAAGAAGTTTTGACGTCGTTCTCGGAATTTCGTACGAATGTACTTACTTTTAAATAAATTATTTACTTGGCTTATTTAGAGAGTTAGCTCTCTAAATACAAGCAAAATGTCAGTTTTCCGGTTTGATTGAAGCTTTTCTTACTGCTGTTTAAAGAGCTAACTAAAGAGATCGATCTGAATTTTCTTTTTAAAGTCAGTGATTTTGTATGGGAATCCGAGAGCAATGTCCGAACTTTTTGGTCACCATTTATACCACGTGACGGCTAGCGCCGAAAAGGTGAATTAGGTAATATAAATGCGGTCTTCTCTCATCTCTGAGGTCCCGTGTTCGATTCCTGGACTCGTCATCACATGTGAGCAGAGTTTGTTAGGTCTCTTCTTCGAACAAGGGTTTTTCTCTAACATGCAGAACACCATGACCAATTTTATCAGTAAATTAGCCGTGCCCTGACCTGTTTTATTCATGGTATCGATAAAATTTGAAGGAAGTTTTTGAAGCAAATGAAGCCTTCTCGTAGAAAATCTTTTTAAAATAAATACTAAAAATAATTAAATAAATGAAATAAATAAATAGGAGTTAGCAGTGGAATGGAAAACCGGATATCGGAGAACCCTGAGAAAAGCCCTCGAAGCACAGGAGAGAACCAACAAGCAACTCTACTCACACACRACAACGAGCCCCGCGGGACTCGAACCCGGGTCACATTGGTGCACGTGAGAGGCAAGCACTAATGAATCCACTCATCTTATATTTTTAGGCACCACCAACGTTGGGATCGATACAATTGGGTACAGAACGACTACAAAGCGTACCAACAATGTTGTGTYTATAGCAACCTGTGTTGGATGTATCWAGAACGACGTCCATCTGACACATGTGCACGTTACGTCCCTCCGAGAAGGAGTAAGTTAACATAACTAGATTGATTAGATTCTGAGGTTGAGGAATAATGGGTCGAGTTGGCATCCCAGTGCATTGTAGGACCGTTTAAGAGGACATATTTACAAGATGGCCCAGGGGCGGATTCAGGAATTTTAGAAGGGGGTGACTATTACAAAGGTTTTTACCAGGAATTCAAGGACGCCTGCACATTCCCCTGACGATATATTCACGTTACATCTCATGCCGGTGTAAATCAAGGCATTAATAACATAATTTAAGATTCTTTTTACGAT